GATTCCAGATTTCTTCACCAGCATTGATGAGAGCTAGATTCCGGGGGTCTGGCAGTGAGGACCCCCTGGTGGAGGCTGGAGGTCGTGAATATCCCCCCCCACACCTTCATCTCCCGACTTCCTGCCTTTCCCCTCAGGGTCTTGTGGGTTCTGAGTCCAGAGGGGAAAAATGCAGGACAAGTGTTCAGGCTGGCATCATGGGTCATATTCTTTCCAGGGGGTGCTGAGTCTGCTATTTCTCAGTTCTAGATCTAGAGAAGTGGTGTGCGTTAAGCTGCAGACTTCTGCTCCAAGAGGGAGAGCCTGGTGCCGTGCAGGGAGCGTGGCTCTGTGGAGAGGCTCATGTGGGCTGAAATCCTGGCTCTGTTGCTCCTTGAACGAGTTTCCCGGATCTCTCAGAGCTGCTGTTGGTTCAGTCGTACAGGAAGGACAACCATTCTCATGGGGGGTTGTCAAAGGAATGAAATAGGGTCTTGTGTATGGAGCGGGGCACTCAGGGGGCACCCGAGAATGGTAGCTTCCTCTTCTTCCACACTGGGCTTTCCGAGGACAGCTTCAGGCTCTGGGACATTTTCAGCATGGTGGCACCCCCATGCAGAACGTTGGGGTCAGGGCTCAAGCAATCTTTACCATCCTCTAATTTCCTTTGCAAAGGAAAAGCATTCAACCACACTTTTCTTGGCATTAGAAACCAACAGAACCTCAAACCCGGTCTTCACTCAGGGGTCTAAAAAGCCATAAGCAGAGAGCAAAGAGGGAAAAACAAACCAACAGAAAACAAAAAAGGACGCACTGGGTCTAGCAGACAATAAGCAGGATGTGAAGCCAAAGATGGGGGAAGCAGCCCAAAAAGGATGTGGGACAGAATAGGAAAGTGGACCCGGGCTGTTTAAATGAAAAGGGAAGTAGAGAACAGGGAAGCTGATTGGAAACAATGGGTAAATGATGACCCCAAAAAAGTTGAAATATAAATGAGCAGGCCTGAGAAAAGGAAGTGGGCCGGAGGAAGCAGAGCAGGATCGGAGATGGGAGGCGAGCGAGTGAGTTGATCGAGCAGGTTTGTTTCTACTGGAGTATGCAACCCATGTGCACTCAAAGCTCTGCTTCTGGGCTCAGCTCAAACTCTTGCAGTTCAACAGCATTTGGTAAACCTTGACTGAGGGGACAAGAGGCTGAGGAGAACTGAGAACAGCCTGGAGCGGTTTCTGTTCTTGCCACGGCCCTCAGCTCATCCGGCATGCATCTCTCCTCTGGAATCCCCATCTGTATGAGACTCAGCCGAGGAGGCCCTGCAAAGAAGGCTAATCTCCTCGGATTCCTGCGCTTGGTCCCTGCTGTCCTCAGGGGCCAGGAAAGCCGGTGTCCAGCCAATCAGATCCCTGGTGGCCCTTCAGCCTGCCCGGAAGACCGCCCTCAAGGACTGGCCCTGCTCCCATCTGCTGCCAGAAGGCCCCATTGTTAGGCTTGTCTCCCAATCATGGGACATCTCAGAGGACCCAGAAATAATAAGAGGACCACCGAGCTCAGACCCACCGTTCCTAAAAAGGTCCCTCCTTTGATCAGGCTGTCCAGTTCAGCGGCATAATTCAGTGACGTCCTTCCTGGCTGTCAGGTTTCTGATGTAAATGGTGCCCTCGCATGCTCTGGGCTTCTCAGCCAGCAAAGCTGGGTTCAGACTGGCCCGCGGGCTCAGACTGCATAGAAACCTGGGCCACCCCGAGCTGCGCCGCAGGGAGGCAGGGCTGGGCCCTGACACCAGCACAGAAGAGTCTGCGGCCGCAGGCAGCTGTGATTTCTGAGCCTGGAGAGCTGGTGGGTCTGGGCTTGTCTCCAAGGGCTCTCCAAGGGTGGCCAAAGTGGCACTTCTGTTTCTGTATGCCCTCCATTCATTCATTCGCTCACTCATTCATTCCTTCATTCAACACACTAGGCATCCACTAAGCATCCAGAGTTCAAGCAAGGGCCCCTGGCCCAGGATCAGGAAGGACATCCGGGTGCCCTATGGGCACCTCTGGGAACCGGACAATCGAAAGGCCACTGTCACTATTCCTCCCACAGAGCAATTTGGAATGAAAGTCTAGGAGACAGTATTTACCCTCCTGCAAATATTCCTGTGGCATTGGCTTAGGGCCAGGCCTCTCCCTCTGTTGAACACCAGTCTGCAGAGCTGAAGGAGACCCTGTTCCTCTCTCAGGAACTCCCAGTCTTGGGCAGGGCAGACAGCCTGGCCACACATGGGCCCAAACAGTAGCCCTGCCACATGCCAGCTGTGTTGCCTTGAGCAAGTTACTCACCCTCTCTGAGTGCATCTACTTGCCCATAAAGCAGAGAGAAGTATCCTGTTATGTGTTGGCTACCATTTCTTGAGCATGTACTATGTGCTGGTTATCATATTAGACTATTTACTTACTTATTTATTTTAATTTTTCATATAACTCATATTATATTTTTATTTTTATTTTTAAAACTTCAAGGCAATTCATGAATGTTTTTCCCAAAATAGGTGATAAGTGTTTAGCAATGAGCCTAACAGCTGAGTAAAAACTCAGTAAAGGTATGCTTTTTTTACTCCCCTACATCCCCCCCCCCCAAAAAAAAACCCTGAAAAGAAAATATTTTTTATTTCAGGGAAAAAAATAAAACCAACTTTACAGACCAATACCTCGGGTGGGAGTGAACAACACAAGAGTTCACAGGCAAACTGGATGATTGCAAAGGTCTGAAATGTTTCTGCTTCCTCACCAAAAGCATTTATTAAGTGCCTGCTGTGTGCAACACACCGTGCCAGGTGCTGTCCTCAGAACAGCACTGTGGGCAGACATGAGAATGAGTCTCAGTCTTGCAGATGAGGAATGTCAGACTCAGAGGTTCCAAGTTCACCCAGGGTCACTTGGCCAGAGAAACAGACATGAGATTCAGCCACGGGATAGCCCGAGTCTGCCCACCTCCCTGTTCTCCCTCCTCGGTGACCCAGGGACACCTGCTGGAAGATTTAGAGGAGGTCCCTATGTATAAGGCACAGTGCCAGGAGTGGAAATTAAACCTACGCCATGCAGCTTTGGCAAAATCAAGCCAATGCACCAGCACAAAGTTCCTGGGCCACAGGACTGAGCATAGGTATGAAGAGATACCACGCAATCTTCCTTGTCCTTGACCTCCTCTCAAGGCCAACTGTGTCAGCTCCTTTCACTGGGGGAAAATGGAGAAGGAAGAGGGTGGTAGCTCAGGTTCCCTAACTTATGATCACTGAGGGCTTGACTATTTCCACTCTCACACAACTGCGCATCTGGGAAGATGGGCTGCTACCATAAGCCACGTGCACGGAGTAGGAATGTCCCCGTCTCCCCATATCTCAGCTTGAACCATTTGAAACTGACACTTGTGTAGCTCAAAAGGGATAGCACATCAGCCATTTTATGTGGTTAAATTAAATATTATTGATTAGGGTCACAAGTAGAGGTTCATCTCTGAGGAAAGGGGGGGTGCGGCTTAAAACAAAGAAAGCATACACTCTCCCTGGGGGTTGGGCACTCCATCCCAGCCTGAGATGCCCAGGTCAGAAAGGCTTAACCAACTTCATGCTGGAAGAATTTGGGGAAGATGCAGAGATGGGCCAGAACACAAAGCAGAGGCTGAGAAGGGAGAAGCAAAGCCCTGGCTGGAAGGGTGGGCCCTCACCTTGGCAGAGACACAGTCTTGGTAAAACCAGAATGAAAAGGATGCAGTGAGGTGTGAAAACTCCCTTGGTTAAAGAGGTGTGTACTTTGTTTTTAGTTGTGGTGGGAGGGAGGCAGCAACAACCAGGAGGTGTGCTCTGAACATACTTGGGGGTTTTCGGGGGCCTGTCTGTGGCATCACAAGGAAGAGGAGGAGGCCCCAGCAGGCCAGAGTGAAAGGGTTGCCCTTGTAGCCTCTGCAGTGACAAACGAGTCCTGGCTGGGGAGGTCAAGGGAGAAGGGGACAAGTGTTACTTCTCTACCTGTGCAGAAATGTCTTGTCTTTCAATTTTTGTTCCGAAGAAACAAAATTCTTATGAATCGCCAGGCCACAGTGAGTGCAGCACTGGTAATTATGGGATAAATTAGCCACCTGGGCCCAGTACAGCAGGCTAACTGAGCATGATCCCCCATACAGGATCAATCAGTCCTTTCATAACAGCAGAGGCCCTATGATGGCAATGGCAACACTCCTCTCTCTTCACTTGGATTTGTGGGATGGCCATCCATGGCTGTCTACTTAGAACTGAGGGGTTTCCAACTTTGGGTGCTAAAACCAGAAAGTCTTGGGCAAACCAAGACAAGGTGGTCACTTTAGAGTGTATGACTCTGTGTCTTATCCCTTAAGGAAGAGAAGGACCTGTTGGTTCCAAGAGAAAGAGAAAGGGTTCTCAAAAACAAAGATGAGGGACTTCTGGGTACAGGTCTGCTCAGGGCTCTGTGTGTCTGAAGAGTGTCTGAGACCTCTCTCTTCAATCTCAGCCTCCTGCAGGAGAAATTGGGATCCAGAGGGTAAAGGAGGTGGGAATAAGGAAAGAGTTGGAGAATTGCTTCAGCGAAGTTTGGACTAGACATGTGAATTATGGCTGCACCCCCCTACCATCCTACCCCCTCTTCTCCACACCCATAGTCCTCTCTCCCACTATCCACACACTGGTCAACCTTTTGGATACATGTTTGAAAATCAAAGAAAAGATCTGTCTCAAGCTTCAAAAGGTCTAGATTCAAATGCTAGCTGAGCCATTCACTGTGTAGCTCTGGGCAAATCTCTGAACCTCTCAGAGACCTGGTTTCCTCTTCTGTCAGAGGAATCTGTTATAGCCTCCATCAAGAGTCTATTGTGGAGATTAAACAAGATGAAGTGCGTGACATTGGGAAGTGTATTGGTTAGGCACCCAACCAATATTTGTTCCTTCCAGCCTTGCTTATGTATGGGGCCAGATACAATCCCAACTTTGTTTCTCTGAGAACTAATGCTGTTACTTGTTTTCCTTCCTGATCCAGGCCCTCACCATGCCCACCCACTCCCCTGAATCAATTTTAGAATACTTTGAGTATGATGAGTCTGCTGAAGCCTGTGATATGGGGGACATCGTGGCCTTTGGGACCGTCTTCCTGTCCATACTCTACTCCCTTGTCTTTGCCTTTGGCCTGCTGGGAAATTTGCTGGTGGTGTTTGCCCTCACCAACAGCCGGAAGCCCAAGAGTATCACCGACATTTACCTCCTGAATCTGGCCTTGTCTGATCTGCTCTTTGTAGCCACCTTACCCTTCTGGACTCACTACCTGATAAGTGAACAAGGCCTTCACAACGCTGTGTGCAAACTCACCACCGCCTTCTTCTTCATCGGCTTTTTTGGAGGCATATTCTTCATCACTGTCATCAGCATTGATAGGTACCTGGCCATTGTCCTGGCAGCCAACTCCATGCACAACCGGACTGTGCAGCATGGCGTCACCATCAGCCTAGGCGTCTGGGCGGCAGCCATCTTGGTGGCAGCACCTCAGTTCATGTTCACAAAACAAAAAGAAAATGAATGCCTCGGTGACTACCCTGAGGTCCTGCAGGAACTCTGGCCTGTGCTCCGCAACGTGGAAGCAAATTTGCTTGGCTTCCTGCTCCCCCTGCTCATTATGAGTTACTGTTACATCAGAATCATGCAGACACTGTTTTCCTGTAAGAACCACAAGAAAGCCAAAGCCATTAAACTGATCTTTCTGGTGGTCATCATGTTTTTCCTCTTCTGGACACCCTACAACATCATGATTTTCTTAGAGACACTTAATCTCTATGACTTCTTTCCCAGTTGTGACATGAAGAGGGATCTGAGGTTGGCCCTCAGTGTGACCGAGACAATTGCGTTTATCCACTGTTGCCTCAATCCCTTTATATACGCATTTGCTGGAGAGAAGTTCAGAAGATACCTTTACCACTTGTATAGGAAATGTCTGGCTGTCCTGTGTGGTCGTCCTGTCCACGTCAGTTTCTCCCCGACTGAATCGCAAACGAGCAGGCGGGAAAGCATTCTGAGCAGCAATTTTACTCACCACACCAGTGATGGCGATGGGTCCATCATTCTCTGAAGGGATACCCAAAGCTTTATTCCCACAGAGAGCCTGGAGTTCCTGAGCTTGACACTGAATAATGAGGACAGACTCTTTTGTTTCTTACATGCAAGAAATGATGAACCGAATGCTCCAAAACAACCCTAAAGCATTTTTGAGAATTCTGCCAAGATTTGAATGATAAAGGGGAGGTACGTCTCTAACTGCAAATGTCAGGACTTTTTGTTTACAAATGATAAAAATTCAACTCAGACTAGCTTAGCTAAAGAGGAGGTGGGAAGTATTATTCACATGGTGGCATGAACAAGAGGGTGGCCGAGCCCTCCCTCAAAGTAGAAACTAGGGCTTGAGTCCAGCTAGAATTTCCTCTCTGGCTCTCAAATCTCTGAGGGGTGACAGAGCTTCCAGACACAGCTTAGCCAATAGTGAGGGACTGAAACCCATCCTTCTCTGGCCTCAAGGTTAAAATTCCCAGGGAAGGGCTCTCATTGACCGTGTTTGGATCAGATGTCCATCCCTGGACCAGGTTATATCCAAGGGGAGAGAATAGATAAGATGGCAGCTTCCATTCCAATCTCATGGTTAGAGGTGCGGGAAGACATATTTCCAAGAAACTGGAGGGGCGGGTGCTGTTTAGATCTGACAGAACAAGAGCTGCCCACCAACCTTACCATGTGTCTGGGCCAGCCTCCTCACTGATCACACCAGCCAGCACACACTGCCAACGCCCTCTCCCTGAAACCCCTTTCTATCATGCCCCCAAACCTACAATGGTTGCCCAGTGCCTACTGCATCAAATTTGAGACTCTCCATTATGCAGTCCCACCAGCAGATTCCCCGTTTCTTCCCCTTCCCAGAAGAATCCAGCCTCTCAGCCAGCCAGGTCTCTTCCATCCAGCCTTATGCATCATCACCTACTTCCAGGACCAGGGAGATAAGTAGAAAGAACCCTGGCCCAAACTGAGAAAAGACGGTTTCCAATCCCAGTTCATCACTTGGCCTGCTGGGTAGCCTGGAACCAGACCAGCTTCAGCTTCCTCATCTATAGAATGGAGATAATGGTATTTTTCACATAAGGAGCATCCTTTCCAGCATGAGGAACCAGCCACCAATTCTTACAGGTCCCAACCCTCTTATCTGATTCTCAGACTTCAGCTTCCCCCCCCCCCCCCCCGCATTTGGCACAGTGCTTAAGGGGGAATGTTGGCAGAGCCTTGGCTCTGCTGTTTGATGTAGCTCAGATACAGAGGAGGCTGGTTCTTACAGTGGCACTCAGTGGACACTCCTACATATACAGATTGCCAGTCCTCCCTGACCCAGCCCTCCAGACTGCCTTGAATGTGCCTTTCCAATTGTTTCGTGGCAAGCCCCTGCCCATCTGGAGAGAACCCCCATCATTCATGCCATTGCCAACCTGGAGAGCCAGGGCCCTAGGAGCAGATTTTTCCCCCTTTTCAGTAGACTTCTGGGTTGGTCTAATACTTCAGAGCTTGAAAAACAATTGTATTAAAGCTAAAGAGAATGTCACCTATAACCTAAACATGCAATACCTTCATTTGCCCACCAAGAACTTGTTCACACTTTCACATGTTTAGAGTTGAAAGCATCATGTACAGACTGTTTTGTAATATGCTATTTTTCTCTTAACATTAGGCCCCAAATAGTTCTCTGTTTCTGTATAGTTTTGTTATGATGGCTCTAGAAGTCTCTGCCAGGTTGTGTACTCATTGAAGGCATCTGACTCACTGCTGTATTTCCGACACCCCCTTGGCAGTCAGTATGTTGGTTTAATCAATGAGAGAATGAATCATGTTCCATCAAGATTGTGTACTGTAATTTACTCACCATTATCCTGTTGATAAGCTTGTTTCCAATATTTAGCAAATACATATTTACAGCACTTCTGTCTGTGTAATTCCCTGTCTTCTCTTCAGTGATTTCCTTTAGATAAATTCCTCATCATGGGGGTAACTGGGACAAAGCGCACAGGAAACGTTTGGCTTTGGACACATACACACAAAATTATTATGAAATTGTTATTGGGCATATATTATATGCATTATGTGGACTCAGATCCAGAGTGGTTCCAAAGATGAGTGAGGCCAGGCCTCTGCCCTCACTGATTTAACATTCAAGTGCAGAACAGAGAAGTAAACAAATAAACATACTCTGCATTAATTGGTCACACAAGAGCAGTCGGACCTGAGTCTTTAAGGGTAAGGAGCTCTCCAGGTAAAGGAAGGGATGGCATTCTAGGCTCAGTGAATGTCATACGTAAAGGAGGTGTGTGAGGGCATGGGGATCTTAAGATCTGGGAAAAGTGTGTGAATAGTGAAAGGCATTAGGAGCAGAGTGGGTGGGGAGACTCTCCTGGAACGTTGGCTCAAACAACTAACAGAGGGGCACATTCTCCTCAGGCTATCCACAAGTTTGTTCCATTATCACTTGAACCTCATTGCAACTGTTGAATCATAAAACTTTTAATTAAATTTTAACTTATTTCTGGACTCCCAAGAAAAGAGGGAAAAATTCTTTTGGCTTGAAAAACAAAAGTAGAGAGACAAAGCACTTTCATTTCTAAATGAAAATTAAATTTGTGTCATAAGAAACATTCACTCATTCATTTTGCTGAATAAGACAGAATAGGGAGGAAATAGGGAAGTTCATTGAAAAACCCTAAATAGCAATGATGTTGGTGGCTAAATAAAGGAAGGCACATTTGAAAAAGACAGTTGGCCCTAAGAGCACAGCTGGATCAGACCCAGTACTGCTTCTGAGTTCCGGGCTTCCCAAAAGCAGAGGGAAATGGTGGACTCCAAAAGCAGAGAGAGATCTGTGATTGAGTCCCAACATGTTAACTCTGTGACCTTGGGCAAGTTACTTGACATCTCTGAGGCTCAGTTTCCTCAATTGAAAAATAAGAATAAAAGTAGTACCCTCCTCCTAGGATTATTGTGAGGATTTAGGAAGATTACCTTCACAATGCTCACAGTGTAGGCCTGGCAAAGCAAGCTCAAATAAATGGTGGTGACTATTTTTGGTTTTTCCCTTCTTCTTCTCCTTTTTCTTAAATTGAACCTTTCCCAGCAAAGAAACTCATACTATCTTGTCCTTGCCTTCTTATTCTCCTTAGTCCCAGAGTCACAGAACTGTAGCACCGATGAGGGACAGGAGACCCAGATGGGGCTGGAGGCTGGTCCAAGATCACGCAGGAAATTAATGAAAGAGGTAGATCCCTTGACTCTCAATCTACTGATTTTTTTCTCATCTTGATATAAATAGACACCAATCCTGTGATAACTGTAGTTAACAATGTTGTATTGTATATTTAAAAGTTGCTAAGAGAGTAGATTTTAAAAAATTCTGATCCTGCACACACAAAATTGTAACTATGTGAGGTGATAAATGTCTAAACTAACCTTTTTGTGGTAATCATTTTGTAACATATACATATATAAAATCACTACATTGTACACCTTAAACTTACACAATGTCATATATCAATTATATCTCAATAAAGCTGGAAAAAAAATACAGACCAACCCTGCCTCCAAGAGCAGAGAACGCAGGTGAGCATGGAAAAAAAATCCAGAAGGAAGGTCTGCAGGTGGAAGACAGGCAGGGAGGGGATGTCTGCCCTCCAGAATGCCAAGTTTAACAGACTCAATCCACTCACAATGACAGATGCAGCCTGGGTGGGGCAGCTTTCGGCGACAGCTATTCTGTGACATCAGTATCTCTAATGAAGAGGGTAAACAGACATTCATCAGCAAGGATCCCAGGATTACCATAGGCAAATCTATAAACAGGATATGGGTTGGTAGGCGGAGCCTTAGTCGAGTAGGGCCACTGTCCAGGGATGGCCACACCCTGGGGAAAGTGCCCAGCCCTTTCCAAATAATCCTACCCACTTTAGGCTTATTCATGCTCATCAAATGATCATCTGAGGGAGAAGTTGGCTTCGCAAGGATGTTGCCACCAAGAAAGCTGAAGAATACACTCTTCGGATTGGTGGGAAGAGCTACTACCCCAAAATCTACTGCATCTGAAGTGTACATAAGGTCTGGTGGGCTTTCCATTGTCTCTCTCTCTGTGAGTCTATCCCTGAGCACCCAAGGAGAGAATTGACCTCTGGCCCCACAAGGCTGCCAACTATATGTGGGAACATGGCAACTTGACTGAGAGGTCCACCTTGCGTACCACCTGCCCCTGAGTTGATGCCTTATTAGTGCCCTCAAAATTAGGGTAGTCTGCCCCAACTCAGAAGTTAATTTTCTTCTCCATCCACACCCATTCCCCGGGTCCATGGGGACCACTTCAGTTTCAACATGACTTGTAAATATAGCTAAGTTGGCAACCCCATGGTGGGCTACCCCAAAGTAGTATTATCTGAGAGCAAGTGACAAATGTAGTTCTTAGCAAATTTAGAAATATCTGGTTTCTCTTCAAGACACCCTCCATCCATAGGAGGGCCAACTCGTTTTCTCAAGGATACAGGCTCTATGTCTCCATTTCTGTTGAATAAGACATGTTGTTAGGCAACAGCCACTGTTCCTCCACAGACACGCCCTAGACAGCTCTAAAAAACCACAAAACGTGCTCAGCAGGAAAATTACTCTTTTACTCCATATTTCCTCATTTCTTTAGTTCGTAGAAACAAAAATAAATTTTAATTTGCATTTCTTTGGGTACTAGGTAAGATTGTTCCATTTTCAGTGTGTTTGTTTTATATTCTTTATGTCTTTTTCTGGATATAAAAGAGGCGTACAGTCCTAGGAAATACAAAAAATAAATAAATGTATAAAAAGTTAAAATTACACAATATTCCATCTCCCTGAGAATTGTTTAACACTGAGGTGGTTCTCTACCATGTTATTCTCTGCAGATACAAATTTAAGAAAAGATTTGAGATCATAACATATATATATAATCTTATATTTTTCATTTAACATTATAGCATAAACATTTCCCCATGTATCAAACTCAAACATGGTTTTTAATGATTGCGTATAGACTTTACCTAGCCCCTACCAATGGACATAGAGGCAACACCCGGTTTTCATTATTATGTGCTGAACATAAATCTTTGTGCATCTCTTTGATTGTCTAAGAGGAATTACTGGATCAACGGACTGAAGCATCTGTGTGTCTTTTGCTAGCTACTGCAAAATTACTTTTCAGAACAATGACACCGTATAGTTAATGCTCTAAGAACCCCACTCCCTGACTCTAGCACACACATACCAGCCCCACCTTCCCAAGCTTTGGGATCTGGACATTATAGACTTTTGTTATTTTTTTCCCATATCTTGTTTATTTTTTTAAAATTTTTATTGTTATGTTAATCACCATACATTACATCATTAGTTTTTGATGTAGCGTTCGTTCCATGATTCATTGTTTGTGTATAACACCCAGTGCCCCATGCAGAGTGTGCCCTCTTTAATACCCATCACCAGGCTAACCCATCCTCCCACCCCCCTCCCCTCTAGAACCCTCAGTTTGTTTTTCAGAGTCCATCGTCTCTCATGGTTCGTCTCCCCTTCCAATTTCCCCCTCTTCATTCTAGACTTTTGTTATTTTATAAAATACCAGCTACTGACTTCAAGAGCCAGAGAAAGAGAAAGACTTCCATTCCTCAGAGAAAGTAGTAAGGCTGCGATCTAGGAGAGAGAGAAGAAAAAAGAGATGGGGGATTTTTTTTAAGTGAATAATATCATCACAAAAGTAGTTGTTTTAAGATACTGCTTAGTGCTTGGGTTATGGAGACACAGAAGAGGCCACCTGAGTCATAAAAAAATCTGGGGAAGGGAGAGTGGGGAATTATTGTATCACAGTATTAGAGTTTCAGTTTTGCAGGATGAAAGAGTTCTGGAAATGGATGGTGGTGATGGTTGCACAGCATTGAACGTACTTAATACCACTGAATTGTATGCTTAAAAATGGGTAAGATAGTAAATTTAATGTATATTTTACCACAATAAAAATTTAGGGGGAAAAAACCTCTAACAAAATCAAGGAAGAGAAGGAAATGGCAACATTTGCTCTGGGGGTGAGGGTGGGAGTGTCTTAGAGGGAGAAGTAAGGATGAACAGGGCACTCAGAGAGTCCTTGTGCAATTTGAAGGTGTAAAAAATTCACTACTGTACAAAACACAAATAATCTGAAAAAGGCAACAGAAGAGAAAATTTGTTCAAGATTTAGCACATTTGGTTGCAGGGAAGTCTACTTTCAATGCACCCACCATCCTTTTGGATATACTTGGATATGGCCGTCTCAGTGTCATGGGGAGCTTGTTACCTGCAAAATGAAAGAAAGGAAAAACCGAAGCACAGGCAACTTTATTTAAATCTCTAGTAAATTCTCTTCAGAATGCATTTCACAGATTGTTTATACCTTACATGGGAGTGAATTTATTAGAAATCCAAACCACAATGGCTTATGGACACCCTTCATCTTGGGCTTCTGCTAGCAGGTGCGATGCTCCAATGAGCCAGGGAACTCCCATCTGTGCCGACTCCGAGAATCCAGGGCTACCTGGTAGCCCTGGCGTATCCAGGTTTCCCTGTTTGGGGACAAGAGGATGCCCAGCAGCTAAGTTGGGAAGCCCAATGCCAAAAGACTAAGATACACTTTTATTGACAAGGGATAAGTGTCCATTTCTAGGCACCTTATTTCACTGAGAAATAGAAGAAACTGGAAAAGAATTTCTACAGGCTCTCCAACTCACATCTCCCACCAACCTGCAGCTGTGCCCACTTGCTCCTCCTCCTCTCCGGGTTCTATAGAAGGATTTTCTTTGCTCTTGTCTAAAGCCAAACCCTCCACTTATGCACTATATTCACCCCCATCTTACCTCCCCAAGGATTGTATCCCTCTCTGCTGGAGGATTCCCA